CGGGTTCCCGGCTGGCTTGTCTCCCACTTCCTTTCATTTGTCTCCCAGGCTCGGTGCTTGTGGTCGGGTTCCCGGCCGGCTTGTCTCCCACTTCCTTTCACTTGTCTCCCACTTCTTTTCAGGCTGGGCGCTTCTGGTCCGGTTCCCGGCTGGCTTGTCTCCCACTTCCTTTCGTTTGTCTCCCACTTCTTTTCATTTGTCTCCCACTTCTTTTCATTTGTCTCCCAGGCTGGGTGCTTGTAGTCGGGTTTCCGGCCGGCTTGTCTCCCACTTCCTTTCATGTGTCTCCCACTTTTTCCCCAAGCAGTTTACTGTTAGGGGTTCTCAATTCTTTCTTAAGATGTGTCCGCCCTTTGTGTCACTGCTGGTGTCCGCCCATTTCCACTAGCATTTCTATTCATTTGTCTCCCAGGTCTGCTGCTTCTCTTGCAAAGCACGACCCAAATCCGCAGGCTGGTGTGGCAATCCTCATCCCTCCAGGATGGGTCCTCACTGTAGAAAAGACTTTGGACTGGTGTGTCCTTGTCTATTGGCCATGAAGCATTTCTATTCATTTGTCTCCCAGGTCCGCCACTGCTGGTGCCATGTAGCCTTTCTATTCATTTGTCTTTCAGGTCTGTCACTGGTGGTGTCCGCCCTTGTCCGTGGGCCATGAAACATTTCTATTCATTTGTTTCCCAGGTCCGTTACTGCTGGTGTCCGCCCTTTTCCGTTGGCCATGTAGCATTTCTATTCATTTGTCTCCCATGCGACTTCTGTCTTTTTGTCTTTCAGGTTTGGTGGCTGCACTGCTGTTTTCTGCCGCGTGACTGTCTCCGGGAGTGCATTCCTGCCACACTGTGTAACTCTCTCAGCTTTGTTTTTCTTTTCGGGCAAGCGTTCCATGAATGACCGGATTGGATTTTGTGACCGTCTCAGGGCATGCGTCAGGCACCAAACATCAATTTCATGTCACGTCCTTCGCTCCTCATGCTTTTATTTCTTGTCCTCACGTGGTCAGCTCCTTGCTGATTGAGCAGCATGACCAGCATCATGTTCGCACTTGAAGAATAATTCACCAAAAGGTTTACTGTCAGGGCTTCTCAATTCTTTCTTAAGATGTGTCCGCCCGCTCTGTACTGCTGTGTCCGTCTTTGCCTTGCAATCCTTTACACTTGTCTCCCAGCTCTGGGCTGCTGTGGCCGCCTCTGCCTTGCAATCCTTTGTCTCCCAGCTCTGGACGTCGCAAGCTCTAGTTTCGATGTTGAAAAACACAAACTGTTTGGGGTCTACGGTGGTGTAATTTCCCGAGAGCGTCTGAGCGAAGGGTTCTTCAAAAAGAAGGAGGTGTAAATAGATCTACATATAAAAGATCTTCAAACCTGACATCTTCTCACATCTCACATCTTCTCACATCTTCTCTCTTCTCACATCTTCTCTCTACTCACGTCTTCTCACATCTCACATCTTCTCACATCTTCTCACATCTGACATCT